GTTTTTGTTATTGTCGTCGTTGTCGCCATCGACGTCCTTGTTGTTCTTGTTGTTGGTGTTGCTGCTGTTTTTGTTGGTGGTGTTGGTGTTGTTGTTGGTGTTGTTGCTGGTGTTGTTGGCGTTGTCGTTGGTGTTGTTGCTGCTGCTGTTGTTGCTGTTGTTGCTGCTGCTGTTGCTGCTGTTGTTGCTGTTGCTGTTGCTGCTCTTGCTGCTGTGGTTGGTGTTGTTGTGTTTGTTGTTGTTGCTGTTGTTGTCGTTATTGTTGTAGTTGCTGTTGATGTTGTTGTTGTTGTTGTTGGTGTTGGTGTTGTTGTTGTTGTTGTTGTTGTTGTTGTTGTTGTTGTTGTTGATGTTGTTGTTGTCGTTGTTGTCGTTGTTGTTGTTGTTGTTGTTGTTGTTGTTGTTGTTGTTGTTGTTGTTGTTGTTCGTCGGCGTCGACGTCGTCGTCGTCGGTGCCGCCGTTGTCGTCGTCGTCGTCGTCGTCGTCGTCGTCGTCGTCCCCCTCGCGACCCGCCCGCGACCCACCCCGCGACTCACTCGCGACCCACTCCCGACCCACCCCGCGCCCGCCCCCTCACTCGCATCCGCCACTGCGGGGTGCTACCGAATTCGTTTTTTTGCCCCAGGGGGCCTCGCCTGGCACAGGGACCGTCAAAGAGCGACTCGGGACGAGACACCGGTCTCAGGGCACGTGTCGAGACCCCTGCCTGGGGACCATCCTCGCCGAAGAGTCATGACGTCGGGGTTCAGGGAGGAAGGGAGGGGTCTTTTTCAGGGGCGCCCGGATGCCTCTGAAGGCTCCTGAGAAGCCAGCAGCAGAGCTCCTTCCCTCTGATCGGCGGCGAGCGAGGGGGGGAACTGAGAAGGAGACGGCCTTCTCAGAAGGCGGCGGGGCTTCTCAGAAGTCCTCGCGCCTTCTGAAACGAGTTGTCTCTGTCTTCGGGGAAGGCCCAGACAACTTCTCTCAGCAGGCCGGGGCTTCCGAACCTCCTGGGAAGGCCTTCTCCTTCTCGCTTTCCCCTCCCCTGGCTCGCCGCCGATCTTAGGAGCCCCCCCAGAAGTCTCTCGGGGAGGCCCCCGCCCTCGCGCTGAGCCCCCCCGTGCGCGCCACCAGACGATGGCGCGCGAGATGGTGGGCGGCTCCGTCCGGGGGGGCGCATACTTTCGGGGGCGGCGACAGGGGAGGGCTGGCCCAGGGCGCCTCCTCCTCCTCCTCCTCCTCCCCCTCTCCCTCCCTCCTCCTCCTCCAGGTTCATCTTCCTCCTCCTCCTCCTCCTCCTCCTCCTCCTCCTCCTCCTCCTCCTGCTCCTGTAGCGTCCTACCTCGTTCTTCTCATCCTCCTCCAGCTCCCCACCTCCAGGGGAGAGGGAGACCTCGCCCCCCGATCCTGGCCTCCCACGTGCTGGACAGATCCGGGCGGAGGTTCTGTTGTTCCTCGCAGATGCTGGCCTCTGGGGGACCTCCTCGCCGGGCCCCGGGGCTGCCAGGAAGAGGCCCGGGGTGAGGAAGCGGCCCCGGGGAAGGGTCAGGACTCGGGGGGCCGCGGACGGCCGGACCGAGGCATGAGGGCAAGGTCGGTTCGGAGAGGGCACCTTCATGGTCTTCGTGCCTGTGGCCTGCTCTTGTGCAGTTCTTCGGTTTCTTCGGTTTTGGCCGGCGGAGGATCAAGCAGTGGCGAAGCGTCCTGCATGGCCCGCCGAATTATAGGCCCACCAAAGAATATTCTAATAACCTTTTGTGGTTTGCACGGGATGTTCTTAGAACATGTCCGGCTGGGACTGTCTTGTTTTGACACATCGGGCTTATGTTCTAAGGATATTGTCGTTGTTCTTAGAAAATTTCTAGGTTCTGAGAAAATTTCGTGGTAGCCCTATAGGAATACCGGGACGGTCGGCCCCTGCTCAAGATGAGGGTAACGTGTTATTGAAGGGTGCTTTTCTGCCCTACACCACCCCTCGAAATCAAGCGCAGGTTTGTCCCGCGACGTGGCGGCAACCCAGGACCCCAAAATTTCAGCGTTCTTGCCGACATTGGCGACTGCAGACACGAACATCTGACCCCTTGGGCCGCGTTTCGCGCGTCGAGCGACATTCAAAACTTGCGTTCGATTTTGAGGAGGGTTGTACCGGGCACACGCAGAGGGGTGTAATTAGGGGGAGGGGGAAGGCTTCTTAGAAGCACCCTGGCTTCTTAGGAGGCGCGGGCATCCTCTGTAGATGTAAGGCCCGCGCCTTCTGAGAAACGGCCTCCTTCTAAGAAGAAGCCTCCCCCCCTACCCCTACCCTTTAGTCGGGCCTGTCCCTCAACTTTACAGGAGGAACGTTCAAAAATAGTAAAAAAAAAAATGGGAACGATTTTCTGACTCTTGACCATTTTGGGGGGTATGTTTTGCATATTCTTTTTGTTATTCGTCCAAATCCCCTTGTAGGGGGACATGCCCGACCTAACCCCCTTCCATGGGAAATCACGGATATCCGCCGCCGAACAGGGCGGCACCGGCCGCATTTTGGGGAGGGCACCTCCCCCGATCCATGGATTTCGCGACCGCGCGCCAAACCCATGGATCGCTAATCCATGTTGGCGCGCCCCCGATTCTAAGAAGCGGCCTCCTTCTAAGAAGCCTCCCCCCTGCCCCCCTCTGCGCGCTGTCTTTGGGAGGGGCCCCGAGAGGGGATCGGGCCCCTCCCCTTTTTCTTTCTCCTCCGAGCGCTGGCTGGGAGGTGGCGAAGGTGGCGGATCCTCGTGAGGTCCGGAGCGCCCACCCCCCCAGTCAGGCTCGAGGGCTCGGAGCACGCAAAGGCGAAGCCCCGCGTGGAGCGACAAACCCTCTGCGCGCCGCGCCGACTCGCGCTCGGGGTCGCGGAGGGTCTCGCAGCCCTGGCCGCCCGGCAACGAACACTGCCGGGCGTTGGGCGTCGGGGCGCCGCCCCCGCGTCGCCAGAGGCGAGGGCCCCCGCGGGGCCCCCCGCCCCCGCCCTGCGGGTAGAGCGTGCGGCCTCGCCGCCGAGGGCCCGCCGCCGCGCCATCTGCGGGGCTCGCTTCGGTTCCTCCGATCCGGTGCGGTTCGATCTCGATGGCCTCCGCTGCCGGCTCGACCCGACGTCGGATGCCGAGGTGGGTGCCGATTCCTCGATGGAGGCCTGCTGGCCTGCCGATCTCTGCCGATTCGACTTCTCCCGACTTGCCGCTTCCTGCCGATGCGATTCATCTCGATCGCCGATCCGACTTATCGATTTGATTCTGGGCTCTCGTGCATCTGCGACGTATTCTCGAGCCCGGGCCCATGTGTTCAGGGGGGGAGGAGTTGCTTACCCAGACCGCCTCGAGTCACGAACATCACGACAATTAGTTCGCCACTTTCGGCCTCTGGGGGCCCCTACCGGGCCTCGGGGCCGTCAAAAAACGACTCAGGATGAAGAACCGGTCCCAGGGAATGGGTCCAGACCTCGGGGGGTCGCGTCATGAAACAATCATAACGTCGGGGGTTTCGGTATACCGCTACCAGTTGCTTGTTTTCCCTTTTGGGGGGTCTTCTGGGAGGCCCTCGTCGCCACCGCTGGGTTCGCCTCGAAATCCTGGTCCGAAGGCACTCCTGGAGAAGTCTGGGGAGTAGCAGGATCGGGTCACCCTTCTGAGTCAGTCCCCCTTCTCGCTGTCCCTCGCACTTCGAGAAGGCAAGAAGCCTGCAGTGGCACGAACATATCTGGAGAGAGCGTTTTTGGACCCCCTGGCGATACCTGGCGCTGTCACGACTCTCGCCGGCGCCGTCAGGGACGCCTAGGAACGGCGCATTCCCAGACGAGCCTGTCGCGAGTCGTGACGTGGCCAGGCTGGGAGGGGGGGCGGCTGGGTCCGCCACGTGCGTTGCGGTCCACACGGACGGTACCCATCGGTCGTGGAAAATAGGCATCTTTGGATTTCCAGATGCCAGTCTGCTTCAAGCGCCCTCCTTTTTCAAGGATCGAGTGGCCTCACCTTTTCCGTCCCCCTTACGGGGCGGGCGGCCCCCGATCTGCTTTCAGCGCCGTCCTACTTCAGGTCTCTGCCTGCCTCTTCCGACCGATGGGTTAAGGACGAGCGACCTTCCAAGCTGACATTCGCTGCGGCCCATCCTTGGCCCCTTGCGCTGGCTGGCCGTGCCCCGCTCGGCCGACCCAGGAGATCCGCACGCTGGGATGCGGCGCCTGGGAGGCTTCAGCGCAGCACCGGCGCTGGCATCTCTGGGCTTGGAACACTGGCATCGTCTGACTTGGTCCTGTCTGTCGGCGGCGAGCAAGTGGGGGAAGCGAGAAGGAGAAGGCCTTCTCAGAAGGTTCCGAAGTCCCCCGGCCTTCTGAGAAGTTCTCTGAGCCTTCCCTAAAGACAAACAACAATTTCTCTGAAGGCACGAGGGCTTCTGAGAAGCAAGGCCTTCTGCTTCTCACTTCTCCCCCTCGCTCGCAGCAACGTTTGATGCTGCCTGATCCCGCCGAATCCGATTTACCCCGCTCGAGGATCCGGGGCTTCGACCGGGCTAACCCAGCTCAGTGGCCCCAGAGTCGGGCTTGATACAGTCAAGACGCTGAACTGGGGGCCACTTTGGGCTCGGGAGTGTCTCTGGTAGTCAGGCCGCTCCGTAGACCTACTCCAAATCCCTTATTAATCGCCCCCCGGGTCCGGTTTTTGAAGGCGCCTTGTTTGTAACTGGGGGGGTCCGTTTTATTAGGGCGCTTTCTTGGTATTGGAGCTTGGGGGGTCCGGTTTATGAAGGCGCCCCGTCGAAAGAGGGGGGTCTGGAATATTAGGTCGCATTTGGAGCGGGGTCTGGTCTTTGGGGGGGGGGGGGGGGGCGATTCATAAGGGATTTGGAGTAGGTCGGGAGGCTTGGTCGAAGCAGAGGCTCGCCGTTGTCAGATAAGGCCCCTTCGTTCCTGATGCATCGTTCTTTCTTATAGCACGATGGCTGCAGCCGTGCATCGTTCCTACGGCGACCACCTCCGATTTGTTGTTTGGTCGTGCAG